GAGTGAAAGTCAGCAGTAAATAAATCAGTGTTATTGGTGAAAATTTATTTATTTCTCTATTGGATCAGGTTCTTTAAGTCATGGCAATTATGTGTGAAAAATAATATCGCCGAAATGTCCGCCAATCTGAAAGAAAAAAAAAAAAAAAATCATTAGACGCTTAAACTTAATTCACATTTAAAATCTGTCCAAGTTATTGGAACACCTGATATATATATATATATATATATATATATATATATATATATATATATATATATATATAGGCAGGGGCGACAGTATTTTTCAGACACTTTATTTTTTCAAGTTTTAGGTAGCACAGGCAGTCTGTACTGTTTTAGTGTAATGGGAATAACATTTAAAAATTGTTCCAATACTACAAATGGAAAAGCAGAATTCAAATTAGAAGTATTTTCATTTTTTACAAATTTTTACATTACACAGGAAACAGTATATTTCGGACATCGCAGAAACAATGCTAATAGTTTATGGCAGCACCCTGTTTTTCAATGACTTCTATCAGTCTATCTTCATAATGTTCGTACATATTGATAATAACGTCTCTTCGTGTTTCTAGCAGTCTATTTTTAGCATCTTGTATGCGCTGCCACAGTTCAGCATCTCTGGTTATTTCTGGCCCGTCGTAAACAAGCTCTGCAAGCATTTTCCATATGTTTTCAATTAAATTTAAGTCTGGACTTCTTGCAGGCCATTCCAGAGTAGCTATATTTGCTTCACACATCCAATTTTTCACTGATTTGGCCACATGGATGCTGCAGTTATCTTGCTTCAAAATAAAATTACTTCCCATTTCTTTTTCTATTAGTGGTAGGGCTCTCTTTTCCAAAAGTTCTCTGTAGCTCAAGCTATTTTGACGTCCTTTTAACCACTCGAGTCACAAGTTTCCATTCGGAAATACCATATCCCAAACCATGACTCCTCCTCCTCCCATCTGTCTCTTGTTGAGAATAACAGGTTCACCTTTTCTCGACCATGTACACCACCCGTCAGGTCCATCGAACTTAAAACGTTTTTCATCAGTAAATATCACTTTCTTGAAGTCGACATGGTTTGTTATCGATCTTTTGGCGCTTCCCAGCCTTTCCTCCTTGTGTTTTCTCGTTAATGTAATTCTTTTCTTGATTTTAGCATACTTAAGTCCAATTTCGTGTAGCTTTCTTTGTACAGTTCGAACACTGACGTCAAGTTCACACTTCTCCTTTACTTTCTTCGCTGTCACCTTTTCTCCAGATGATAACAACCTCGTAACATTCCTCTTCATTCTTCTTTCTGTTCTCTTGGAAATTGTTTTTTTCCGTCCTCTCTTCTTCTTCTTCCGCTCATAGTCTGTACTTAGCATGTATTCAACTGTTGACTTCGGTAGCTTCATCTCAGCGGCGATCTTTCGGATGCTGAGCCCGTCTTCTCTCTTCTTTTGGACCAAACTGATGACTTCTTTTGAATGCATTCTTCTTCAGGATTTTAATATTTTTTCGCAGTGAATGGTAAAGATACTGAAATGTAATAGTCAGGGTACAATTTACCTCCAGAAAATTTGCATATTGTAGACGTTCGACGATTAAATCATTAAAAAACCTGGAATTTGTGTTATGTCCGAAAAATAGTGTCGTCTAAGTTGAAGTAAAAATAAAGAAAACATGAAACAAAGACAAACCCATCAATCAATGTTCATACCATTAATGGACAGTTGCTGCTGAACTACCTACTCATCAACACAAAAGCTCCCGGCAGCAAAAACACCTTTAAGCACACTTTTCAAAGTGTCCCCAAAATAGTGTCGGCCCACTGTATATATATATATATATATATATATATATATATATATATATATATATATATATATATATATATATGGTTTTGAATTATTGTAAGCCGATGTTCCTGAGCCATAAATCGATGATCATTTTTTCAAACGTAATGAATAAGGCATTAATTTGTTTTAATTCTTGAAAAAGGTCACCCAAAATAAAAAATTCGATTTTACCATATCAGAAATAAGGGCTAAAAAATCGAAATATTTCAGAATCATGAATTTTCAATTTGCTAATAACTTAATTCAATAGTACTTATGTATTTTAACGCATTTAACTCTGTATAGCGATAGTATAACATACAAACCTACAAATAAACAAAAACAGAATTCTAGAAGGTTTCGTAATGTTCTAGAAGTTTCCAGAAAGTCATAGCACTACTCTACTTATATACGATTTTAGAAATTTCGTATGGTCGAGTGACATTTTTTAAAAAGTAAATTGAATTAAAGCCTTCTTCATTTACCGAATTATGGTACAGAAAATCAATTATTTTACAAGAAGTCATAACCTAATATATATATATATATATATATATATATATATATATATATAGAGAGAGAGAGAGAGAGAGAGAGAGATAGAATAGATCTCTCACGACACTGGTTATGACACTTTTAATGGTGTTACGATCGAATAAAGCTTTTTCCCATTAGCAATGTTAAGTATCGTTTGCCATAATTGCGCAACATGCAGCAATAGATCTGAAACAGTTCCAGAAAATTGGCATTTGTATAAAAGATTACTAGTCATCATTGAATTGGTTACCGCTTTTGGTCACGGCCAGCCTGTGCATCACCACATAATGTTATATTAATATAATGAGGATTGACGGTGCACTGGGTTATACCCATTTTCTGAGCCTCTGATGCAACAATCAAAATGGAAGAGCAAGTTTGCATCATTGGTTGCTAGTGAGCCACATCGAATGCAATACCTAAACGAGGGCTAAGGGGTCCAACGCTCACAGGTGAGCTGGGTGGTAGGTGGCAGGCGTTTAGCCACCCCCACCCCCACACGATATATGTGTGTGTGTGTGTATATATATATATATATGTATGTATATATATACATATATATACATATATATATTTCAATTAAAAGGCGCAATTATAATTTATAAATTCTTGAATCATTCATACAAAAACCAAATATAAAGGTTAATGATTTAAATGGCGAGAATACATCGTCGCAAACACATAAATAAGATACACCAACCCCGAACTTGTATATGAATGATATGATCCCTGTTTATAAATTCCAGTTGCATAAGGTCTTTTTAATTTTTTACAAGCTTTCGTCTGTTCCTACAGACATCATCAGGTATGGAAGTAGATTTTGTTCTTGTTTTTACTTCTCGGTAATAAGAGGACAATGAAAATAGAGATGTAACCCGAAAAAATGCTACGAGAAATGTGTTATTGTTTTGGAACGCTGAGTTTGAATTTAAATTTTAAGTTTGTGCGTTTTTGTACAAATATAGCAATAAGAGAATTCTTTTTTACTGGTAGATTTTCCGTCAATATGGCATGGACTATATTGTTCAATAATTACAGTAATGTCACACTTATTATCCTATTATATTAGGGATCATATCATTCATATACAGGTTCAGGGGTTGGTGTATCTTATTTATATTGTTTTGCGATGATGTATTCTCGCCATTTAAATCATTAACCTCTATATTTGTTTTTTTGTATGAATGATTCATGAACATATATATATATATATATATATATATATATATATATATATATATATATATATATATATATATATAAAACATATATATACAAAGATAAACATATATATACATATATGTACATATTTATATATATATATACATATTTATACATACATATATACATATGTATATATATGTGTATATATATATATATATATATATATGTATGTATATATATGTGTATATATATATATATATCTATATATATATGTATATATATATATATATATATATATATATATATATATATATATATATATTACATTAATAAGGCTTCCATTATTTTTAGTCTTTTTTTACATATAGACGAGACTATTATATTTGTATTATCAATAAGTATGTTGCGAATTATAAATAAAAACAAAAAAAACAACACTCAATAATATCAACTATGAACATGGACAAAATATGTTGACCGTGTTTTGAAAATGAATCAGTATATAAATACATACATGGAATAATCTATTTCCAGTTAACGATTTATGTATTTCAACCTTGAAAATGGCTAAATGTATAGCCGAAAGCGCTCGGAAAAAATATAGCATTTGGACAGTTTCTATATAATTTATCTTCTGAAAAGAAAAACTTAATCAAATCACCTTTTCTGTCATATTCAATGAAGCTTGTATGAAAGAAGGATTGCTGCCTAAATACACAATATATATATATATATATATATATATAATATATGTACACACACACACACACACACACACACACACACACACACACATATATATATATATATATATATATATATATATATATATATAATTACATTATGTATATATATTATACCATTAACTGGATTCTCTTTATTTGTAGCCTTGCGCCAAACTAGGCTAAGTTGGGTTAAAATCAATGAAGTGTTGGCCTTAATCTAAAGTGATTTCAGGTGTTTCTCCTTATGAACTACGAGGTTAAATGACTGACTTCGCTTTAATTTTTATCACATTTGTTCGTTCTGATCTAATCCCCGACCCTTGATATTCACACGTCGTAAAATAGACTTTTTTTTTTTTACTTCTCTTTCTTCTTCTTGACTTTTCATATATTTAAGAGTTGCTTTGTGTTAATAGAAAACTATTATTATATTCTTTAAAACGCCAGGTCTTCACAAGTCTTACGAAACCATCGCCGTACATAGATTCCTTTTCCTTTTTATTATTGTGAAAAGCCGTGATTCCTTCGTTCTCTGTTGCCTGCTGCACAGTCAAGGCTTACGACCATACCACCCTGAAACACCGGGTCTCGTACGATCAAGTTAAGCAACGTCGAGCCTGGTCAATACTTATATGACAGATATCTTTCACTATTCCAATGCATCTTCGGATTTCTGTGCCACATTTTCCTTCGCCTGTTAAATTTCTGTACTAGCTTGACTTTGAATTCTTCATTAAGTGGTTGTATATATATGTGTAAGCTTACGGTCATATCATGTTAAAACACCGGGTTTCGTACGATCACCGAAGTTAAGCAACGCCGAGCCTTGTCAGATGTGTGACCGCTTGGAAATACCAGGTACTGTAAGCTCGGATGTGCGACTGGGTAATGAATAACAGTTTGCTACTTGGAATCGGATAGCGCAAATACCCTTGAGTAAGGTAAGAATCATCTTCTTCTCCCCAGCTATGAATTAATTAGTAGGACTTGTATATATATATATATATATATATATATATATATATATAAAAAACCTGATCCTCCAGTTTGGGGTTGTCCAGTAGGGTAGCACCTTACTCACTTAAAAAAAACTGGCTTGTTATAGAAACCAAAATGGTACCTTGCGGCTCTATGTTCAAGGAATTTAAAGGCATAATATTATATATATATATATATATATATATATATATATATATATATATATATATGAAAATATATAGTCTTAAGATGTGCTATATTTATGGGATAAAGTGCTCAATATCAGAGATAGAGCGTGTGTAAATATAAAAGTGAACATAGAAGTCAACACTGTGCTGTTATTTTCTCGGCTATTTAGCTAAAATAACAGCACTCGTGTCCTGACGATTGCATATAGCATGAAACAGACTGTCGCCTCAAAGTATTGACTTCTATGTTCACTTTTATATATATATATATATATATATATATATATATATATATTATATTTATATTATATTATGCCTTTAAATTCCTTGAACAGAGAGCCGCAAGGTACCATTGTCGTGAGTAAGGTGTTACCCTACTAGACAACCCCAACCTGGAGGATCAGGTTTAAAATTCAGAGTTGATCGTCTTCTAGCCACACAAGGCTAGAATCTGGTCTGTCCTGCTATTTACCCATGGGGGAGAAGAAGAGAAATCATACCTTTCCCAAGGATATTAGCACGTATGTGAGGGTAACGGATTCGACAGGAATTCGAACTCGGCTCTCCGATTCCTCAATCCGAGCCGCTATCCAGTACTTCAGGTCTTGTATAAGTATATCGTTATTATCTCCGTAAAGATTCTTACAATCTAAAAATATATTCTGGCTTTAAATAACCTGCAATGGGTTGATAAGACGTAAAAAAACGAATCAATTTTGCACGGTCTTGAATTCAAAGTTGTCTTCCTTTTTAGACCGACAACATCCAAGGCTTTCGACTGCATTTTATTCTGCTGTTTCACAAATAGCGGGGGCGGGGTGAAGCGACAGATTCCTACTTTTACCATCGGCATTTGTGCAAAGGTGAATGCAAGAGACGAAACCTGAATTCGAACTCTGCGCGTCGATTCCACTTTATGCGACAATAACCGTGACGCTACCCGTTCATCTCAGGTTGGGGTGATCAATATACAGGTGGTCCGAAAGTCTTGTCACCCCATATATAATATAATTTTCTATTTCAGATGCCTGACAGCTGCTGGAAGAGAGGTAAGGGGTGACATTACTTTCGGACCACCCCACATATAATGGCCCTGTTCTATAAATGCTGCTGGGCTTAATTCTTGGCTATTTCCCCCCAGATTTCTAATAGAAAATATAGAAACTGAAAACCGAATTTTGTTGAAACGAATTTTTAAGCAATAAAAAAAAAAAAAAAAAAAAAATAAAAAAAATAAAAGAAAGAAAATTACACAATCCAGCGATTAATCACCTCCGCCCAATTCACCAGCAAAAGTTAAAAAGCAAAACAAAAAACTCCAATAAATATTTCATTAGTGCAGAAAATGTCTAAACCAAATTATCTTAAGAGATTATTGAAAGCAGAAATAATTACCTTTAATAAACCCTTAAATACGTAAATTCTTTATTTAAAAAAAAACAGAAAGTAACCGACTTGACGCTTTAATTTGATTGGTTGGTTTTACAACATGTAAAACCTTGTTCGGTTATTTAATATCAAAATTCGTCTTTTTTTATTTTAATGTCGAAATCAGTCTTTCTTAAAATTATATTTGAGTCTGTAAGCATTTTATTCGTTCAGGAATAGCGAAATATTTCCCGTTTATATTTGAGTCTATGAGTAATTATTGGTTTGACGCTAGGTAATTATTGGTCGTTTATATTCGTGTCCGTAAGCATTTATTGGTAGGCGGCTTCATTGTTTTTGACAGAGGGTAGGACAACGTATTCTGGACCTTGTCGAGAGAGTGGCCTTTATGGCGAGTTAAATGGCGAGGACTAAATGGATGGCGAAACAAGGACACTGTAATGATAAACAGAGGAACGTTTAAGGATGTAATGAAGCTTTTATTCAATGCAACATCTAAGCTACGCTAAGAAAATCACCATAAGTGAAGTTCGACCATTTCCTTTATAGTCGAGTAGTTCGAGGGGGAGATAACTATGGTTACTTTCCATACATATACCAAACACAGAGGAATAGTATTACTTAGAGCAGTAAAAGTTGTGGAGAGTCATGATCGTCTAGACTCTGAAAGGACATGGTATATAAAAGAAGATATGGCATTCGTGACGAGCTCGCTAAAATCGCTCCACGGTAGGCAACCCCGTTCTTGAAATATTTATATAAAACATACTATAGCCCTTTTTTTTTCTTTGAGTGCTATGGAACTGTTAACGACTAAAACCCAGTTTGAAAACTGTGACTAGGGCTTGCGGCCATATCTCGTTGAAAAACCAGTTCCCGTCCGATTACCGAAGTTAAGCAATGTCGAATCCTGGCTAGTAGCTAGATGGGTAACCACTTGGGAATACCAGATTCTGGGTTAGCTTCGATTCCCGTCGGGTTCATTCCATTCACTTACGCGCAATACCCTTAGGCGATCATGGCTCTTTTCGATTTTTAATCGCCCAAGGGTTTGACGTTGCTTGACTTCCTATCCGCCCAATACCAATACGCACTGAGCCAGCGTGGGTCGTGTAATGGCCCACTCCTCCTCGTGAATCTGGGGAAGGCCTGCGTCCAACAAAAACGACTTTCACGGACTGATAAGAAAAATAGGTGGATATTTTTTTAGCGGCTTTTATAGTTTTCAAAAAACGAGAGAAAAAAAAGGTATTTTTACGGTGACAAATTTTCTTTCAACGTTGCTTATTCAAAGGATTGAACTAAGGAAATCTGTTGCTGAAATGCGTCCAACGATTTAGTTGAAAGAAATAAAACGGGGAAGAAAGTTAATCCAATTAACAACGATAAATGGATCGGTCGAAATCGCTAAGTATACGACAATATGTCCTCGGGCAGCATTCAAAGAAAAAAATGTCGTAATTACTAACATATGAGATTATCCTAAAATGAATTTTTCTCCTTCGTGCTTCGATTGCATGCATTTAAGCGTGCTACTAGATTGGCAAATAGGTTTCATTGTTTTACTGTTGAACGAGCTAAATGCAACCGTCAGTTCTATTCTAGTTGTTTCTTTTCTCGCACTTCTCGACTGCGGAGCTCCTCTCCGATTTCTTGCTTCTCTGTCGCTTACAATCTTCAAAAATTTAATTTTTATCACTCTGTATGTGACTTCATTTGCTGTACAAAAAGTTTATCCTACCACTGAAGGTGACTGATCTCTGAACAATAGTGTATTTGAAATTCATAGTTGTGTTGTCATAACCTGCTATGGCAACAGAAAACAATTTTGACTGAAACTAGTAATAAGTATGTTGCATTTGAGAGGCCTTGAAAAAGAATACAGTGGAAAGGGAAGTAATATTAATAATGCAGAAAGTTAAAGATTAAATGCAACGTCAATCGCCATCTTCTGTCTTCCTAAATCCTGTCCCTTTATTTTCCATTTTTTCACTTCACTTCATTAAAGTCTTCTTATTCTCTTTCACTCCCTGTAATCCCCTGCGTTTTAGCGGCATTATCGCCTTGCTTGGGGGTGAAATAATTAAAAAAATGACATCTGTCTCCGTAGCGAAATTAAAAGTTGTAACCTATCTCGGTTAACAATGATTTATAACAGTTTTATAACAGTTTTGTAACAATTTTATAACAGTTTTATAACAGTTTTGTAACAATTTTATAACAGTTTTATAACAATTTTATAACAATGATTTGTAACTTAACAGCTTTTTTTTAGCTGTTATTGCCTGGCGAGGTAAGGTACAGGACATCCTAAAAGTCACGAAGTGATTAAAAATTCTAGTAATTTCAACAATATTTTTATCATTCAAAACTAGTTTGATACAGGATGAAAATTGAAACGCTGGAAACATTTTCGATAAACCATACGAAATAAAAAATTGCACTCTTCATTAAGCGTAAATTTTTTTTAATAAGGTCTTCTCGAACATTTAGGCCGGTAGACGAAAATAAATACATACCCTGCTTAATAAATAAACGGAGCGTCAACTAAAACACGAATATCCACTAAAAATAACGTTTAACTTGATATGTGTGTGTGTGTTCTAAGACAAAAAATTGTTGTGTTCATCATTTTTCTAAGACAAAATTGTTGTGTTCATCTGAAAATTAAATTTTTACTTGTGAAGTGAAAAACACCCTGATGATGACATTGTGCTAATGTCGAAAGTACTCGGAATAAAATGTATATGCATCAATATGGTAATTTTCTTTCTTCCTTTAATAAGGATAGTAAGAAACTTGGCCGTAATTATGAGAGAATCCTATTAAAAATAAGTAGACAAAACTTGTCTAAATTATTTAATGAGACATGTCTTATATATATATATATATATAATTTTAGATATCAACAAACAGTATTTAGAAAAATATAGCAAACTGGAAAATTTCTTGTGACGCGTTTCATACCTTAGCAAAACCTCTCTGAAGATGATGAATCTATTGATAAGAATTAACTCTCTGACCACTTAACGAAGGAAAATAGTCTAGCCACTCCCACAATAACGAATTCTGTAACGGACCGTGCCTAAAAATACACGTAAACCGAGAGATAGTTTATTCCTAAAATTTCGCTTGAAGATGAAACGGGACTAAACACCACAATTCAACTTAATTTTAATAATTATTTGGATGATTTCGGCTCTCGTTTTTGAAACATGAGAACTCTTATGTAGCGAAGGAATCATATTTTTAAACAAAAATATTATTATATTATATATATATATATATATATATATATATATATATATATATATATATATATATACAATATCCAAATGAAATGAGAACGAATCAAATATAAATCCAAACGTTCATAACATTAATTTAAGAATAGGGCTCAATGCAACAGTAGTGCAATATTCTTTATTATAAGATGTTACATTCAAACATATGTAAAACCGCTACATAAATGCACTCATGTTTTGATGCATATCATCGAATCTCAGCAGGCGGTAATAAATGAGGGTTATTACAATTTTTTATTGTAATATATATATATATATATATATATATAACAAATCAAATGACGTTAGGGAATGCTGATGCACCCCCAAGCAACCTATGTTATCCCACTTTTACCAGTGGGTCCTTTAGTCCACATATATGAGTGAGATTGTCCTGGTACCTTTGATCTCAGACCAGTACTATATTTCTGACTAAAGAAGGCGTTCTCTTGTCTTGATTTTGGGGTGGCCAGAGATCTACGCTCAGGTATCACGCTTGGGTTATTGTTCCCTTCATTGAGGGTATTAGAGGTAAATATTTTCTGGGTGTTGGCGTTATCCATCTGATCGGTAGCGATCCGAAACTTTCAGTAACTTCGAAGTAGACTATCGTATCAGCAGGTGTCTGATATCAGGCTTATTATGCTGCCATTTTGTGAATAGGTTCTGGACTGTGCAGTAGTCACCGGTAGGAGCCTCTCTATGCCAAGATGAAGGGTTACGACTTTAGACAATTCAAACCAGGTTATTGATGCATGTGGGTGTGACTGGCTCACTACCTACTCTTCTACCAAACACACTGTTATCTACACAGGAACACAACTAAATTGAAGCCGATACCTTCTCTACTTATCTGCATAAAACGGCGCCTCTTACCCAGTAACTCTCTAATTCGAGTGGCTCCCGAGCCTTGTACAGGGTGAATATCCTTGTAATCTATATGTAGTGAATTTGTAAATTTTCTGACTGTATTACCCGTATCGCCAGTACAAAAGCGATAACATATTTATTTCCCTTGCATTTGATTTATACATTTAAACTTAATATATACGGTGTAACCCGGATATAAGAGACCCGGATATAAGAGAAACCCGGGTATAAGAGAGATTTTCTCTGGTCCCAAAGTGTTCCCATACTTACTTAAACAAAATAGACCAAACCCGGATATAAGAGAAACCCGGATATAAAAGACTTCTTCTCCGGTCCCGACAACTCATGCATTGCGTCTACATAGTTACACTGGATATATATATATATATATATATATATATATATATATATATATATATATATGCAGGAATTAGCTTTAATGTTGCCTGATAGTGAGGCTTTTAAACTAGTGGATATATATATATATATATATATATATATATATATATATATATATAAAAAAAAGGCTTAAACACTAATATTCCATGGTCATAATTTATTCCATTGGAATCGTAAAAATACGATCAATTTATCAGACCTACAAATTCATATATATATATATATATATATATATATATATATATATATAAATGAACATTGAAGTCAACACTCAGAGGCGACAGGCTGTTTTTCGTTTTAGACGCAATCGTCAGGACTGATGATTGCGTTTAGCATGAAACACCCGGTCGCCTCTGAGTGTTGACTTCAATGTTCACTATATTTATTTTTACATATGCTCTATCTCTGATATTGAGCACTTTATCCCATAAATATAGCACACTTTAAAACTATATTCCTGTATATATATATATATATATATATATATATATATATATATATATATATATATATATATATATATATATATATAATACCAAAGTTTAGTAAACTTAATGCAGGAAATAGCTTTCTCAAAGAAAAATGAAAAAAAAAAAATTGTTAGAAAATTAGCTTTTTTATTTCCTGCATTGAGTTCGAGTGATGTATGTAATGCCTGGCGAGACTGGGGAAACGTTGGGTAAGTCGGTAGCGGAACAGAACAATTTATTCAAATTCTCTCAGTCTCGTAGGGAAACCAACATTTCAAAGCTAGGGGTAATTTAGATGAACCTTTCCCAAAAACATCTTAATAGGATTTCATACAGCTGATGTAACTAAGTGCGCGCGCACACATACCTATGTTGACACATACACACGCACACATTGGCATTTAGCCAAAAAGCAATTCACTTGCCTATACCAATGTTTTACGTATATTTAAATAACCGATAATGTAAATGAAAACTCGTCCGTTCTTTCATCGCTTCTAAATTTTCTTGAAGTTCCCAAGAAAAAAATAAAAACATCGAAGTCATTTTCTGATTTCCATCCTAATCGCCACCACCTTCACGCACGTCCATGCTTTTATTTAGATTTCAAATTTAGTTTCCTCTCGATTTTTGCTATTGTCAAAAACAAAAAAAATCTTTTGCGGCTAAAAAGATTTCGCCCATAGTCGCGCCTTCTTTTCATCCTTACAACCCCGACGAATAAAGTCACGTTTGATCTTATTCCGAAAAAAAAAAAAAAAGAGCAGAAAAAGAAACAGGCCAAAACGAAGCACAGATTAAAATGAAGTCTGACGACAAAAAGAAAAAAAAATGAAACGTAAATAAAATCTGTTTCATTCCGTTTTTTTTATTGTCATTCTCTGCCTCTACGATTCTCTATCTCAACCGATTTTTGTTTTTTTTTCCT